CCCCAAAGAGTTAGCTCTGGTGTAAGAAGCCAGTGAAATGGAAGCATGTTATTTCCATGCACAGCTTCAGGAAATCTATTATTTAAACATTGTGTATAATTTCTGGGGTTTGCAACTCAAAACCAAAATGGTTCAAGAAAAGCTCTCCATAAATTGCCTGAGCAACCCCATTTATGGTATGGTTCTAGAGATTTTTATGATTGCTCTAGGAAGAGATGACCCTCATTTCTCCACATACCAATCTGAGGAGAAAAATTCTGATATTAAAGAGCTTTTTGGTATGACAGACAGGGTATAAGAAAATGGATTTCAAGTTAAACTAGGCAAATTCCACCTTAAAATCACAAGATATCCTTTTAATAATTTGAGAAATTAACAGCTGAACCAGCTTATTTGGCACATTATTTTATTAATGCAATCAATATCATCTGAAGCTTTTAGCATGAATCTGAGGGGTTGTTTTGTCAGGTTTGTGGGTTTTTTTTTTCCACTGTAGCTCTACCAGATGTTATAAATGCAGTGAAATTCTGACACTTCTCTTATTTGGGTCAGTCTAGGTGATAACAACATTAAAAACGGAGGAGATCATCTCTACCCCAGCGTGTTACAGAACTTTTGACAGGAAATCTTCCTCAAATAACAACATGAAAAGAGGGAGGACAGGGTCCCTCGCCTTTGTGCATATGCTGATTGGATTAGGAGATTCTAACAAAGAACAAGCAGACTCCCTTGCCTCTAGCTCCAACTCGTCCTTATCTCTCTGCAGGGTTTTACCTGCCAAAAGCCCAGACATTAGCATATCAGAGAAAAGACAATCGCAGGAGGGACTCCTGAAAAGTCTCCCACGCCCTAAGGGTCCCCCACATCTCCCATCAGGTGCCCTGGCCGAGCGCTTAAGAGAGGCAGTGAATTAGATGAGGACAAATTGGACATCAGATGTCACAGAGCTCAAGGACCATTCCGGAGTCCTCAGATCTCAGAGCCTGCTCCAGACGGAGGAGGAGCCTGGCTGGATCTCCATGACCCAGTTATGGACCATGTACTTCTAAGAATAACTTCCACATCAAGCGAGGAGAATTTTCTTCTCCCGTCCCCATAAACATATCCTTTACCCTCATTATACTTTTATTAAGATGTCCCTCAGTACAAGTGCCAAACGAACCTCTAAGATACTTGAATTTCTTCAGCCTGCACACAGCTGGGAGCATGTCTGTGTTTCCCTATCTCAGACAACACAGAGCACACACAAAGAGGAACCCTCTGGATAGGACTGGATGCCCAAAGAAGAACAGACTGGGGAAAAGACAGCAGAATAGCAGACTGGAGCAGGGGACAAGAGCTCCAGCCTTTATAACCGTGGGCTGTTCACCGAGACAAAAATATTGCAGTGAAGCCAATGAGGTCAAACATCATTTCCCCACATCTGATTACGATGACTGAGGAAGTTTGCATTCATAAAAGGTGCAGATATATCACACACCCTGAAAAGACAATCCTACCAGCCTTTGTTCAAAGCAGAAAAAAAAAAAATGTTTGCTGGGGGGGGGGGGGGGAACAGAGCTTGTAACAAAATTTTTCAGCAGCCCCTTAGCTCGAGCAGCACTAGTGGGCGCAGCTATAATCACAGCAAACCTACATAATGGGTCTGAACTAGCTTAGCCCTTTCCCTGCAAGCAGAGAAGCTGCCACATCAGTAACTCCGTTGCTAGGGCAACTGCTTACTTTCCATATCAACTGCAAACTCGTTGCTATGGAGACACATATACAAGAAAAATTCCTCTCTATAGCCAAGGACCAGATGGTAGGGAAGTCAGGGAAGTCATGGACTAACGGGCTGTACTAAATGGGACACACACTAAAGGACATTTAGATCTGTGCGTTCACAAAAGGATTAATCTGAACAAGTGAATTCACAGGTCTGGCAGTATAAACAAAGCCAGGGAACTCCTCATCCACTCCCCATCATGTGATACTTCATACTCTGGCCAACTATTATTAAACTGCTGAGCTCAATGCAAAGAGGTTTGTACAATCAAGGGCTCAGCATTTTCCCTTCTTCAGCCCAGCTCCCTGTCTCCATCCAGAGCAGCCTGCCGGCTTGCCAGGTAAGCCTGATGGCACTGCAGCTGAAGTGGAACAGCAGCACTGTAAAAACAAATATGAGCAGAAGAATGTATTTTCCCAGAATTCCACACCAGACCTAAAAGCACCAGGACAGGGCAAGTCAAAAACTAAAGTGATGCAGCCTGTTTGGCTTTTTTTTCTCTGTTACACTGATCTCACATCAGGAAATTCAAGCATTCATATGCAGGCAGAAAAAGCTGCAGACTATTAGATGCATATTTAGCCCCATGAATATAAACCAGTGGAACCCAAGACTGAGAAAACTACTATGCAGAGGGAATTCAAAAGAGAATTAAGTGTTCAGCAGAACTTTTTTTAGAAAAACGATTACTGAAAGGCTACACAAACAAACACTGGAAAGCACAACTATGAGAGGAAAAGCTTCTAGCTTTTCACAATGTGTCAATGCACATCAACGGCAAATGCCTGCAATTCCCAGCACTGATTAACTCCTTCCCCCGACACTGTACACACTTCAGAGCTCATCTTCGAAGCATTTCATAAGATGCCATTCGCTAAATGCTGCTTTTTTTCCCCCCCACGTAAAAACAGTAAAACAGACAGATTCCAAAACTGCAATTTGTGGAATCTGGCTGCAAAGGAGAAGTGGCATAAAATGATTCCTCGTAGAGGAGGGTCCCCCATTCCCCTGCTCCAAGCCCCAGACCCAAACCAGACAGACACCTTCCTTCTGAACATCACAGACACCCGCTGCAAAGTACTGCATCAACCCCAAGCCTGTGTGTGCACACATGCAAAGGTATTTTCAAAGCTATCAGGTGACATTTACTGCTTTCCAAGTCCACAATTAGCTGTCAAGCGCCTGATTCAGCAACTCTGACTGAGGGCCAATTCTGCACTCAGGACTCTGTCTGCCACATCCCTCGGCCAGGACACAAGAAACGCCCAGCAGGGGACTTAAATGACCTGCCGTGGTGCATTTTACGTTTGAGACTCCCATCTCATTCACCTTAATGCCGGCTACCTGCAGTTATTAGCATCTCCAGGAAGCGGAAGAAATTCTTTCTCATAAATCTGGGAATTTCCAGGAATGAATAAAACCCCACCTTGTAATTCATACAGGCAAGGCCTCCCACCACACCTTGTTGTCTAGCGATGTACCCACAGCTCTAACCAGGAATTTGAGATGTAGGTGACCAGTCATGCATTGTGTTTTGCCACTTCCCTGTGGAGAAGCTGAGCCTCGTGGTATTGTTCATACGAGCTCAGAGGATGGCCGGATACTTGACAGATAGACATGAAGACAAGTTCCTCATAGAAAGGAAGGTGAAATCTAAATAGTCAATTTGTAAACAGTGGAAAAAGGACAGAACAAAATACAAATGGCAGTGTTAAACACATGCCTTGCCAGTTACAGTATTAGGGGTTTTTTAAATGTGTTGTGTGAAGATTTCTGACAATCTGGGGCAGGATCATAGAAGTCTGGTGTGGTGCTTATTATTGTTTCACTTCCAAATGAGAATTTAATACTCTGGTTTACGCAAAACAAGATCCAGTTCAGGAACAGGTTTTTTAATCCCACAGTCTTTCACAGCGTCTAATTGATAAAAATACCAACATGCAGTGTGTGATCAGCAATATGGGGACAGTGGATTCTAGGTAATAATATTTTTTAAAGCAAAGAAGAAAAAGGTGTAAGTGCCAAATCTTCGAAAAAAGGAAAGCTCCTGCTAGTTTAGGGCAGTGTATGACTCTTCCTCTAGAGTTCCTTGAGCTCCTATTCCACAGCATTTAAAGTTAAACCGCACACAAAATAGGGAGAACAGCACCACCAACAGAAGTCTAGTTTCAGGGTAACCAGTCGCAAGACAATCACAGCATTTACCTCATTGAAATATAAAAGCTGAGTGCATCTATTGTTTCTGCCAGGAGAAGGTGTCTACTTTCTGATCTTCAGCCAATTTTAGAGACAGACCGTCGGTGATGGGCTTTTACCCACTATTTATTTCCCTAACCTGTGAGAAGGCCCCTGAAACTAATCTGCAAGCTGGTATTTTGATCAGTGTAGTCATACTTTGCCAAGATTCATCCAGACCACTGCTTCTGAAGACGGTTCCCTCTGGAAACTGATACCTGCTCGCAGGCAGCCTGACGCAGCAGCAGGCTGTGCAGAGCCTCCACTGCTCAGCTCACTTCCCCATTCCCTCGCACTGCCTCTTCCTGCAGACACACATCAGCAATGAAACCAGGCAACAACTGAGACCCAAAGGCAAAGATGTGCTCCCCAGGCTCCTGCACTGCACCAGGCACAGAGCATGAGCCCAGGGAGAGAATAACTGAAATTCTGGTGAATAACTTTCACCTTTGATGCCAGGCCTGTCTGCTCTCTTTTGAAGAGTTTCTCTAAAACCCGCTTGAAATGGAACAGAGCCTCATCACCAAAACCCAAAACTACTTCTGCTTGTTTAAGAGAAAGAAAAGTTTTTTCAGATTGCAACACAGACCAGGGGAAAAGCAATGGACTCTTACATAAGGCATACCCTTTCACTATACATTTGTATAAGCCAAGAACAGCAAGCAGCCTATTTATAACATGATTACATTCATCTAGTATAGCTGGAAACCATTACCACAGCATGATAACTAAAAACAATATTTAACCACTATGCATGAAGACACCAGCTGGGGGGGAAAGAAAAAATACACACACCGAGTACTTTCTTACGGATGTCTAGACAATGAATTTAATAAAATCAGAATGAGCAATGCTAAAGAAATGTTGGCTCTCTGGATTTAATGAACTACATTACCAGGGACAGGGCTGCATAGTCTGTATTTCACTGTTACAGACACATTCTGGGATTAGCAGGTGAATATTTTCAGAGCCAGACAGGTTCGCATAGTTCAAAACTTACCTGACTTCTGTCTTTGTCCACTTTCTTAAAACACTTATTCAAGGATAGATTATGCCTCACAGAATTTTTCCATCCAGTGGGTGCGTTTGCAAAATACGGAAAGTGTTCCAAGATCCAGTTGTATATATCCTTTACGGGCAGTCTTTTGGTTGGTGAATCCTCGATGGCCATAAATATGAGGCAGCTAAAGGAGTAAGGAGGTTTGCAGTTTGGGTTCTGCTTGGCATCGTAGGGCATGTCAGAGTGGGCAGGCGACGGCGGCGTGTCATCACCGAGGTCCTGAACGGGGCTAACGCTCCGCAACACCGAGTCCCCAAAGCTTTTCAGCAAGTTCTTGCTCTCGTGTAACCAGTTCAAATTCGTTAGTTCTTCATCTTCCATGGCCCCTTTATCTAATCTGATGGCAGGCAAAGAGAAATCTAGGTCCTCGTCATCGTGAAGTGCCTTTGATAAATCACTATCTTGGTAACGCTGGCTCAGTCCACTGGGAACGCTAATTCCTGAGCCCTCTGGCTTCTTACTGGGAGGCATGACTGGACCCATTTAGACAGCAACTCCTGGGAGAGTGAATCCAAAGAAAAGAGATAAGGAAACAGAGACAAAAGTTAGCTCATAAAAAGATCCTGCATAACTTTCGACAGCTTTCCCCTAACTGGTCAGTGGCCATCTGTATTAAACATGACAGACTCACACAAACACTCGTCTGCAACTGCTGAGCAAAATAATTTCAAGTCAGCACAGGGGAAGACATTTCAGTCGATGGAGTAAGATGATAATCCCAGTACACCTCAGTTGCATGTATCTGAAGCCCCACACAGGAAATCCCCAAGACATGGGGTCCCTTTAATGATGAATAGGTGTATCAAATCATTGAATACTCTGACTGTATCGCTTTAATAAGCATGTGAATAAACAAATACGAGGGACTTAAGGCCAGTTGCTTCAGATTCATTTCAGCTGTTTCACTTTTCCAGACAATACAACAGCACTGTGACTAAAGTCACTCTGGCTAAAGGCTGAGGCAGACAAACATCCAACCTGACCACAGCCTCAGATGTGACAGCAGAACTTCAAAACCAGCAAAGGTGGGAGAAAGGAGGAGAGAAAGCAACACACGGTAGCTCTGGAACCAGGGCCAAGACACGGGGAAACAAGCACCAGAGGAATAGAGCACTTTTAAAACGTATGTAAACAGAGGAGATTTTAACATAAGCTGAATCCTATTTCAAACACGGGAGAAGACAGAGAAGACTCCTGTGATGCTCAGCAGGGGCCTGGGAGAGGTGGGATGAGCTGCTGAGGGCATTGCATCAGCAGGCCCTGAGGGGAACACCTGTGAGCAGTAATATTTGGGAGGGCCTGAGCACCTTCAGAAGCTAAGTGAAGTTGGGTACGTGCCCAGCTCAAGGGAAGGAGACAGGAGTCCAACAATTCTACATCAGAAACAGGAGACAGGCTCCCTTAGCTTCTACATAGAGTAAAACTGTCAGGATTTAAGTCTGAAGATGTGAACAGCGGCGGGACAAAAACCGGAGGGAGTTAACAATGCATTTTAAAAGGATGAAACTTCTTGCACAAACACTGAATAAGAACAAAACGATTCCCTGCACCTAAAACATAACCTCGGCAGTTTCCTGAAGTCATGCAGTCACGCAGTGGACGCTGTACATTAAGGCAAAAAAAATCTACAGGTAACAACAGAAGGAACAACCTATATGCAGGGAGAAAAGAGCAGCACAGCCGTCCTGGGAGAGAGGAGTGAAGGACTCTATTTCAGCTGTTAGGAACGGGCAAAAACGAAAACTGAAAGTTCCGCGGGTCTTTCAATAAACACTTCACACCAGTGCAGCCATTACCAAGAAGGAAACAAACAGAACTTTTCTGCACAGGAGGCAGCTCAGCCACCCCATGGCCCCACGTGCCCGGAGAGAATGTGCGGATTGACACGAGTGTCCGGGAGAGGAAAAAATACCGAGGGGATATAAACACCGGGAGGCCAAACTTAACGTCGGTCCTACTTCCTAGCTTTGAAAACCGCATCCAGCACAGCTAGAGGGTAAACAAGGCCCTGGCCGGTGTCCGGGGGCTCTGGCATGGCCTGCCCACACTGCACGCTCAACTCTGACTCCGAATGGAAGTTACATCCCACGAGCTTCTAAACACGAAAATTATATGATGGCTGACAGTAATTTAATTGCACTGTTGCTATGACAACACGCTGCTCTCTTTCTGTTTAATTTGCTTATTTGCCAGTATCCTCCCAGAAGGCCGCGTCACGCCGTGATTTTGACCAT